TTAAACTTTATTCTGATGTTTGTATTCCAGACTAAAGAGGCCTTCTTTTGATTTGTGTGATGAAACTTGTATTAGCTTCAGTTTTAATCTCACTTAGTTTGATCTTTCTTTTGTTTCTCAGCAGCAACCCTCAGAGGAACCTGAATTCTTGTTTCCTGGACTTTATATTTTCCTTTAATTGCAGAATTGATAAAGAAAATGTTTTGTGAAAACAGATAGACCCAGTGCTGAGAAAGGGCTTCAGAGGAAAATATCCATTATACAGAGGAAAGAATCATCTTAATGGAGTTTAAAAAACAGTCTGAGGAGAAATTAAGTGCCCTCTCATTTGAGTTCTGATTGTTAGGGCCAGAGCCTTAATTAGAAGCAGCCACATTTTTCTGTTCTAAGATAAATGCTGAACTTTGTTTACTTAGCTTGGGTTTTTTCCCCCCCCACTATTTGTTGTCTCATGACAGAGAAGCAACTGAACCAAGTCCAATACTTCTCTGAGTCACAGTTTTTGGAAAGAGGGGTTTGTTGTTGCTTTTGTTTGCAAACAAAAAAAAAAGTCATAATGGAGTTATAAATAAACATGAATGTGAGGAACTTTTTCCATTTCTCTGGTGTCAGAAGATTAAAAAAGGATAATTATAATACCAAATAACCATTATAATAGCAAATAACCATTCCCATGTCAAGTTGTTCTATGTAGATGTAAGGCTTCTAGGTAAGATAGCAAGACAAAAAATGAAGACCAGGAAAAAAAAAAGGAAGAAAAAAAGAGAAAAAGGTAATTATTGAACCACTGAATCAAGCCTTCCAGAACCGTCCAAGCAGGGTTATCCAGGACCACACTCTGCCCTGGAAATGGTTCAGAAGATCAGCTAAAATACTGCTCTGGGTCTGCAAAATAAATCCAACAAATCTTAAGAGCACACAAAAGCCACTATGAGTGGGAAGAATCTTCTGGTTATTTAATTTTTTTGTACTTTAATCATGTTATGTTTTCAGAATTTGAAGCAATTTGATCACTTCCATATGTATAAATCCAGAGAAGAGCAAACAGAACTGCTGCCTTCAATAGCAAATGGAAGAAATCCAAGTTGCTGCAGTCTCACTCTGGTTTTTCACTCCTCCCCTCCCCAGACCATGAGCATGGTTAACCCAATCTCTGACACCATCAGCGGGAGAGAAACTCATCCCTTGAAGGAGAAAAGTTTTCTGCAAGAGCAGCTGGCTGAACCAGCTTAGACAAACACCAGTGCTGTGTCCAGGAGGCAGGGACAGAGCGGGGCAGCAGGCACAGCTGGCTCTGAGGAGCTGCTGGGGCACTGCTCCTCACCCCACAGCAGGAGGGATGCAACAGCCGGCTTGGCAAAGTTGGTTCTGTGGGGCAGATGCTCACTGAACCTTGGGTGTAAAATAAAAAGTTAATAAACTCATATGCATATAGGTGGTTAGATTTAATGCACAGTGTTTGCTGACCTGGAAACAGAAATATGCTGGCATGTTGCTTGAGCAACTCAATGATCTGCAAGGAGGAATGTAGGCGTTCAGCAGAGCTGAGTAGTTTGTATCCAATGTAAAACATCCAGGAGTCCTTGCATGGCCCAGACAAGTCACCTGCTGGTGGAATTTGGTACAGGAGCTGAACTGCGCAGATTTTGGGTGACAGAACTGTCATGTGTGTCAGACCAGCAGCAGACTTTGGAGGTTTGGTTTCTAGCATCACCACTTGCCCAGATGGGACAACTCAGAGGTGAAGTGATTTATTTCTGTGGATGCTACAGTCCATTAGTCAGGGAAAGGATAGTGCTGGGGGAAGGGCCCTGGCACCAGCCTTTTAGAACCAAATCAATAGTCTGCATCCGTTTTATCCCTGTAGTTCTTGGCTGCTTATATCACATACATAAAAGCATGAGCTTTTGATTGTTTAAGATTCCTTCAACTTTGAGTCTTTTGAAAATCAGCCTAAGGTGCTTCATAGTACGTAGATTTTGAGATTTACAGAAATATCAATAAATATTTTCAGAATTCATCTTAGCACAACTCATTATTTAGAAGAGGTAAGTCATGACTTGCATTCTTTCATTTGGCAGCCAACAGAGCTTATTACAAAGTTTGCATCTCAATTACATCTGGAACTTCACTGATACCAGCAGCCATAATAGAAACTGTCAGCTGAACTTGAATGCATTTTGAATTACCAATGCAAATGGCTGTTATTAATTGGGGCAGGGCAAAGGCATTCAATTGCAGCATGAATCATCCTCCCATTGGGAGGCAGAAAACAGGGTACAATCATTTTGTGCTTGAGTTGTTACAAATGCAAAGTTGTGAAGAGTACAAGTTGCTCTCAGGGCTGGAGACACTGGCACCAGAGTGAAGGGTCACTTGTTTTTCTGAGAGCAGTCACAGCTGCACCTTACATTACTTTACTTTTGAAATTAATTTCTAATAAGATGCCTTCCTACCATGCTCCAAGTTGTGTGGTTTTGATAATTTAAGAAAAATAAATTAGCTGCAGATATTAAATAAGCTAGATAACATGGATAATCAGTGCACAACATTTCATCTGTTGGTTTTGCCTTCTGATTTTGTTTCTCACAAGCAGCTTATTTGAAGCCTTCTGAATTAACATTGTAACTGGGAATGTTAAAGGGACTTTTAGATCACAAATGTGTGAGAAGTGCTGTGAGGCAGAGGTTATCCTAACCCTGATGCAGGAACCCCACCTGGTCCCCCTTTTGCCTTGTTCTCCATGCCCTGACAGCTGGAGCAGGGATTTGCTGCAGGTAAATTCCTCATGGACTCACTGCAGTGACTCATCCCTTCCCATGGGCACTTGCTGGGATGGGTTTAGCAGGATCTGAATTTAGATGAGGCTGACTGCCTACATCCAGGATTAAACCTCCTTGAATTTCAAGCAGGGGCTTGAAGGGCAACCCTTCCCTTTGTCATTGACCCAGAGTCCTCACGTTACTCTGGCCTTCTTTCTGCCACAGGGGTGTGAGGTTCTTCCAGGGTCTCATGGGCCTCTGAACACTTACACTGTTTTGTGAGATTACACCAGTGTCCTTACACAATTTTAAACAATATTTTATTGAAATTTCATGTCTCTGTTTTGCCACAAGGTTACAAATTACTCGTTGCACAAACAGTCAACAAACAAGTGCAATACATTATAGATAAGAAGTCATAGTAAAGTATTTTATGTATCTTTTAGAAAAGGAATATATATCTTTAGTCCATGCTGTAGTATGAGAAGGTAAAAAAAAGTAAAAATTAGCAGGCAGTAAAGTAACAACACAGTATAAAGGAAACAGCTGGAAGGAATAAAGAAACATCTTACATTTTGTGTAATGAAGCAAATATCAGAGCCCTAGTTCTGAGAAAAGAGACCATGTATGGAAGTTTTCCAATGAATCTATTAGAAGTGCTGATGGGAATTAAATGTTTGCCATATTGAATTAATGATTTTACCAGTAAAACCAGTTCTCATTACAGTCAAGCAATATCAGGGAGGCCAGACTTCTGAATTAGTGATTCCCCTTTCTACATGCATATCCAGGATCAGTATTTATTGAGAAACTATTCTTTTAAGGTTGGCTTCTGTGCAACTAGATTGTTTCCCATGATTTGTAAACAATTTGGTAACATACAGAAGTATAATTATATTTATCGAGGAGATCATCTTATCAAAAAAATTAATGAAGCTTAATTTTGAAGCTATAATAGAACAGAGTCCTTCCAGAAACCCTGCTTGTACACAAAGTACAGAAATGGATGGTAGGAACTGTCTCAAATTCCTCTAGAAAAAAACTAATGTGCTGTTTTTTCATCCTTTTCATGCTCAGCCTTCTCTTGTTGTTAAATACTTTGTGTGTTTACAAATGCTTTCCTTAGATCAACTACAGGGCTTTTATTCTACACTAAGTCTAAATTCCGTAGATGTCATATTAGTAAATAAAAATTGGTATCATAAAATCACCATTAACAGGAAATATCATGGGATATCATTTACCAGCAAGCACTGGGAACTGACCAGACAAAGATGTACTGCTGCTGCCATCTTATAATTTCATTATAAATCTCAGTATTTTTGACGAAAATGTCAGTTTTGAGCCTAATAAGAGCAGGCCTATTTCAATATATGCTCTTGTGTATTTCAAAATGTATTCCACAGGCCAAAACAGCAGATTTAAAATAAAAAGATCTCTGTCTAATTTCGTGTCTATGAATCCACTGGCCATGGTCTGATTTTAGCCAGCTAGAATAGAAATGAAATAATAAAACATGTTATTGATAAGGATAATTGTTTAAATGTCAAAAAGATTTCCACCCTCTTACTAGCCAGAATTCCTGCTTTGTCCTGACTTGTTCTTGTTCCCGTCATCATGAAAATGCTGCAAACAGTTCTCCTCAAATTATAGAAAAGTCTCTACAGCATTGCCTGCACCTGAATGTAGAGATCTGCCTCTACCCTTCAGTAATTGACCAGTTGCCCTCTGTTCTGGTCAGGGTTCAAAAAGAGGAGTTTAGTGCTACAGGATGGGTTTCTAAAGCTAGTTGTAGGCATGCAGTTCAAGCTGGAATAGGCTTGTCACTCATCTTGCCATCTTAAAAAACAAAACAAAACCCCAAGCAAACCAAAAAAGCACTTTTCTCCATATAGCAGGGGATAATCTTCTCTGAGTAAGCCATGAACTATTGATGGAAGCTGTATGATTTAACAAGAAGCAATATTTGAAAACTACTTGGCACAGATGTCTTAATCATAATTTCTAGTTCCCTGTGTGAAACTGCTGGTTCTGGACTCGTCTTTATTCCACAATATGAGTACCAAAACCATGCATAGAGTATTACAGATTTTATTCTTTAAATGTGAATATTTTCCATTAACAATGTTGCTCCTGGTCCAGCCAAGGTGATACAGAATTTATCAGTTCAAATTCTAAACACTTTTGCTACATCAGTTATAATTTACATTACTTTTCCAATATGCAGATGAATTTATAGAAATCATGTTTAAAATTTATTATAGTCTTCTGCTAACAAATTACAGAAAGATAAGTAGCTGCATTGCAGAGTATTCAAAAAATCTCTCTAGACTCCATAATCTTATGATACATAATACAGCATTGAACATGATACAAGTGTCAGGATGAAAGGCTGTGCCACAGAAGGAAATCCAAAGGACCTGGATGGCTGAGGCTGAGGCTTATGTAGGTCTAGGCGACAGGAATGTTTTGTTTCTTGCAGAATTTCACTTTCACCTACGCCCATTACTGCAAAAGTCTTCCGCACCTACAAAAATTCAAAAGTTTGTCCCTGAAAGCCACACTGGCCCAACAGCAAAAAGCTTTATGCAGCTAGCAAATTCAATGATATTTACCCAACTCAATCTGTATTGCAAAACCACATCTGAGTGTGAGGAAATCAATATTATTATTCTGCTGTTTGCATTCCCAGAATTCAGCACATTACAGGCAGGAATCACAGGTCTGGCTGCTCTTTGTCTTGGCTCTCTCCACATATGGAGAACACGCACTCATGAACTTTCTTTCCTGAAAGGAGCTCTCAAGAGCTTCTCACTCTCAAGACAGAGCTTCAACACCTCTAATTTAGATGGGAAAAAACATTATTAAATCCCACAGATTGGTTAGGAGAGGTGAATTTGAGCCTCTCCATAATGTCAGTCTGCCACACAGTGAGGTCAGCATTATGGAGATATTTTGGCAGGTTAACTGGAATAGTTCAAATTTCACTAATTTCAGTTCATCCAACATGCCCGAAAAAGACAAGTGGAAGAAAGATCTCTGTGAAATATTTGTTGTCTATAAGGCTTTGTGTGTAATGTCTACTTACCTATCCCTGTCAATAAAAGCAGTAGGAGGCAAGCAGTCTGGAAGTTTCAGCAGAGGCATTTGTAAAAGTTACCATTGAGGGGGCCCTACTCTTATCCAGTCTCCTTCCCTCCTCTCCTCCCTCATCCTTCTGGATTAAAATTTACCATTTATACTTCAAGCTCATTGGGATCTAGTTGTTATGTTTATGGCTTGTTAGTGGCATGGCCATGGCAGAGGCCTTTTGAACAGCAGCCGAATCCCATGACAAGAATTAAATTGATTTGCAGGAGTCAACATTCCTTGCTGCCCCAGCGAGCACGGCCAGACTGTGATGCTGGTACATCCACAGCTTCTCCAAACCATGAAGTGATTCCATTTAGAAGTCACTGATGTGTGCTTATCAGATTACTGCAGAGAGAAAAACTTCCAAAGAGCTTTGTCTGCTCTCTCTCGTTTTCCTTTATGCTGCTAACGCTCCCTTGCCATCTTGGTTTCTTTCCCAGCGTTTGGATTTACTGAATTAGGTGCTTACATTCCCTCTCTCATTGAACAAAATAATCTCTCCAAAACAAACCACATAAAATGGGGAAAAAAAAATCAAAGAAAAAACCCACCCAAAAAATTTGCAACAGAACACCAACAGTTCATCTTTCCCTCTTGGTAAGAATCGAGATTCAGTTTGGATTTAAATCTTACATTTTCTACTTCCCTGAAGACACGGAGAAAGTTCTCCCTCAAGACTCCTTTCAGTTCAGTTTCATTCCATCCTCTTCTAAGAAGTTCCTCTATCAGAGAAGGGTATTTGGAGACATCTTCCAATCCTTCGGGAAAGCTGTTGGCAAGAGTCACACAAGAACATTCAAAACACATCGCTGGCAAATTGGAGAAAAAGGGTTTTAATTAGTCTTTTGCACATATTGACTTTTGAAGTGAGCTGACTTTGGACCCAATTCTTCCTCTGGGAATTCAGCTGACAAACAGAAACAGGACTGGGACACAACAAAAGTGTTTTTCTTCACATAGGACCCAATAAACAGAACACAACTGGAATGAAGATGCACTTCTATAGAGGCAAAATAAGAGCATAGGAGGATATAAGAGCAAAAGGGGAAAAAATAACCAGAAATTAATGTATGTGGTAATCCACACTTTCCATCAGGACTTCAGAGTAAGAGGAAACAGCTGCATCACAGATGAAGTTGGGGCAATCCACTCATGTAACTGAGAACAAAAGGAAACCTACAAACACATGATGAGCTCTGGAGTTGCAGACAATTTTGTGAACTCTGTTGTTTACAAACTATTTACAAAAAATACCCCAATTAGAATAATAATATTAGTTTGGATTAAGCCAATTGTTTAGGCAGTGGAAAGAAACCTATTCAGAGCCTCTACTGAAGAAATTACAAAAAAGCAAAACTGATCTATGCCTGTGCTAATTCTTGTCAGAATAAAAAGAATTTAGAAATAAAAAGGCTGCAAAACCTGCATCAAACAGCTGGTTTAAATTGTATTTCCATGAGACTTTGATGTTGTTTTGAGATGACTAATATTTTTGTTACTCTTCTGTTCCATGAAGGTATGGTGATCAGCATATCTAAAAAATCTGTGGCAGTACTAGCAGGAATTAGGACCTCAACAACTCCACCACCAATTTAACTGATGGTCTTTGAGAAAATTCATGATAAAATGTGTCCTTTTCTTGCAAACTGTGTTTTTATTTTGAACATAATAATTTCAGAGCTATGATATCATGGGAGCTGACAAAATGGGTTTGTGTTTGTACTTCACAGATGGGGGCCTGACTCTGACTTTCATTCCGAAGCAGGCCTGACTCCAGGAGAAAACGAAAAAAGAAAAAGGAGATAATGATTTAACAGAAAGATAAAAAGAAAAAAAAAGTTTAAGGTTGCAGCAGCAAATGCCACCCAACCTGCATTTGTTTCCTGTGCTGTAACTGCAGTGGGCCAGGAGTGAGGAGAGGTTTTTGGTAGGCTGCTTACCAGGCTCTGCTTGCCTCAAACACTTCCCAAAAGCAGGAGCGGTTTCACAGCACCCAAACTCTTTGGGCTTTCCCCAAGGAGAGTGGAGGGAAGAGTTTTGCGGCGCCTCTCTAGACTGAACCATTTACCATATAAAGGTTGAGACAGCTTTTCTGTCATTCATCTGTGGCTTTTGGAGAAAAACAACCTCTATCACTGGTTTTGTGTGCCCAAACCACCACCTAGAGCACATGGCTTCAGAGTTCAGAGGGCGTGAGGATCCATTTGTAGCATGTGCCCCTCTTTCATAAAACTTGGGTTAATGCTCTTTACAAGATAATCTGATACCACTTTTTCTTTGTCTGCCTTCTTTTTTTCCCTTAAATGAACCAAAACACACATAATTTAAGGGGCAGATGTCAATGTTTGTACAACTTTACTCACCGTTCCACTCCATCATAGTCACCACCAATTCCTATTGATTCTGAGCCTGCAACTTCCTTTATATGGTCAAAATGATCTGAAAGAAAATATCAAGAAAACAACATCTAAGAGCCTAACAAAAAAAAAAGACTATTACAGTTCACACATACTGGTACTGGGTAACAGCTGTCTTTAATACTAGGTTCTTGATAAAATCCTTTTTAAATAAGTCCAAAGACACCCCATCAGGCAGCAACCTTCAAAATAACAGCTACACTGACGAAATGCAAATGAGGAAAGAGACATGAGCATCACAATGCATTCATTCCTAACAAGCAGCCCAATTACACCAATAGAATTTCATTATCCATTACACACCTATGTTTCACACTCTTAATTACATAGGCTTAAGGTGTTTTCCAGAAAGTAACAATTACTTTGGGATTAATGGCTGTTGGCTCTGTTTGTGAGCATCGTGTCCTCCAGCTACACACACATCTTGTACCTCTTGTTATTGTTTAATGAGTATTAGCTAGGAAAGTACCTAGAGCTGGGCTAAGGTGTGGATGGAATAAACAAGCAGTGTAACTTACACAGCCTTGAAAACGATGCATGCCCCAGGATATTCACAGAATTTATACAAATTTGTAGAACCCATAAAAACTAAAGTATATAAACATCAAACCTGCAAGGGTAGAAATATTAACAACTTTTCTGCCACAGGCCAGTACATCTGCATTGAAAGACACCATGATAATTCCCTTGTTCTTTTTCTGAAAGATATGAAGAGACAGGTGATGAGTGAACACTCGTGCCCTGCAAACTTCGTGGGCATCTTATGCAGAATCTTCTACACCCATCCACCAGTGAGAACAGCAACACTAAGTCAAAGTTCAGATGGCAACACAAGGCTTTGCCTCCCTGCCCTTTCCTCTGTGTTCATTTTACTTTCATGCAGACTGAATCAGCAGAAGTGCAGTGACCACATCCAACAAACTCAACCAGAATTCCAAAGTATTTGCAAACACTTCATTTTTGTAGTCAAAGGCTAAACACAACCCAGAGAAAATGCCTCAGAAGCAATTGTAAGCTGCTGTTCAAGGATCTGCTTCTAAATTAAATTCAGGAATGAGGAGGTGGAAAGTAAACATCATGATTTGAATGCACGTTTTCTGCAGCCCATCCAATCATTGCCATTAAAACAAAAAAACAAAACCCCCAAGAAGTAAAGCCAACAAATTCCTTCCTCCAAAAACAAACCCAAGAACATATCACTCACCAGTTCCTGGAGGATATCATCAGGAACATTTCTTGAGTGGTTACAAACAGAAAATGCTGCAGAGTGGCTGAAAATTACTGGTGCTTTTGAGATGTTGAGTGCAGCCTTTACAGTGGAGTATGAGGTGTGAGATAAATCTATCAGCATACCCAGGCGATTCATCTCCTTTACCACTTCCTAAAACAGATGTACAGACAACAGTGTCAGTGTTAATTTTCCTGAAAGGAAGCTGTTTGGCTGGTATATGGAAACAGATAGATTAATTATGCAGCTGCCAGCTAGTCACAAACATGCTGTGCCTGTAGTGGTTGCTATGTACCTATTAATTAATTAGTGATTTATTCACTCAAATTACCCAGCATGCTCAAAACTTAGAAAACTTAATCAATCTAAAATAAGTCATTGGAAGTGTTATTCACATCTTACTGCTTGCACATATGAATTCATACATCTAATCTGTATTTAAACAATTGCAATAAAATCTAACACTTCTTTTACCCTAAGAAGCATCACAGGGAATGTGGTTTGACTAAATCCTGGTCACCTCCTAACTATCAAGAACTTCCAGCATTAATTTTTAATGTCAGTTTGCTTTTGAGAAGATAAGGCCAGAAGTTGTTAGTTGCATGACAGATTGCCCAGATTAGCATTTGAAAGAGATCCTTACTTGGCCAAATGCAGTCAGACCAATAACACTAGGATAAAAGTTGTGTACTCCTTTAGATGATGATTCAGACCTTAAAAATGGGGAGTGAGGGAGAAGAAACATTTTATTATTCTGGAGAATACAGTATCAGCAGCTGAAAACTGTTGCACTACACAAAAGAAAAATTACTACAATGTCACACAGCCCCACAAAAGTGGGGATAATGAGCTACGTAATAGGAATCCTGTTCAGGCAGTGCTTTTTATGTTCTTAACAGCTTTCAGGTTCACTAATGTTGATTTTTGTGAAGGAATTTTAGACAATCAGATTCTCAAGTGCCTGAGTTATGATTATAACAAGCACTACATAATGGATGTAGTCTCCCACCACATACATAGAAAACTATTTATCCCCAAAGCCTATCACCTTGAATTGGTTCAAAGTCTTTCACAGGACAAGTTTGGGTCTGAATCCACAGTTCTCCCATCATGCAGCTGCCACTCCTTTGCATTAGACAGTCACACAAAAATATGCACAATAGTTACCAGGGAGTGTTGCAGGTGTGTGTTAGAGTCATGTAACGAACCCCCAAGTCATAGTACATCCTCAGTGCTGCCAGGCTGCTGTCAATGGAGTGGCCACCTTCTATTCCAATCAAACATGCAATCTTTCTACTGTCAGAGATACCTGGAAAACACAGAGGGAGATACTTCCTAAGTAATTCCATGACAGATAAGAAGCCAGCAGTACCAAGCAGCGATTGTCTGTGTAAATTGCAAGCAATAGTAAAGACATTTTCATAGAATTTGAGCTTACAGAGTACATGTTTATATGGCAAATTTTCTCATGACTGTAATGTCATGAGAAAATGACCAGGGTAATGGACCAGGGTGGTGCACAGTCAGTGGCTGTGGTTCAGAGGAAATGTTGAAGTTACTCTTTAAAGCAGGACAGCTTGTCTGCTTGCATCTCTCTGAACACACCTTCTGCAATCATATTTTTAAAAATTCCTTTACAAGAAGGAGCTTCACCTTGGGAAGTCACCACAAGCTCCAGCTCTTCGTAGCTGTTGCACATCCTCTTGACAACATCAATCTGCTCTAAGGTCAGGCGCACAGCATCCTTGTTCTGAGCGCTGCAAAGAACATACACTGACCAAAACTGAAAGAGACATTGACAAGTGAACCAGGTAACTTGTGTTTTGGCTTGGAAACTTCTGTTTGCTCATAGTTCAGGAGCACAGACCAAAATAACTTCCTGCAGTTCACAAGGGGGTTGCCACTGCAGCTTTTTCCCCAAAGAAAGGGTTAAGATGCAAGACAAGAGCACCCACTCCAGACAAAAAAGCAGCCACTCCAAATTAAGGCCTCCTGATACACTCAGCTACTCCACAGTACATGCAGGAAAGCAAGTATAAGCTTCCTTTAATTTATATTTCACAAAACATATGCTGCTGTTTTGACTAAGAGTACCTGAATTATAAAACCCAAACTTTTGAAACACAGCTGTCATGAAAGAATGTTTGTGGCTTTTCAATTATATTATTTTTTTCTTTTTCAACATAAAGAACCAAAATCAGGGCTAGGGAGGAAGCAAATTTAGAAATATGTTCTGAGCCCCACCACCACAGCAGTACATACCTGAGCTCCCACATAACCAGCCTGAAGTTTTGCAAGGTTTGTGTGGGTCCTGTTGAGGTCTCTCAAGCTGACTCCACTGATTTTATTTTGGTAAAGTATTCTCAGCTGCAATACAAAGTCATTGTGGCTAGAATGGAAAACAAACAGGGCTTGTGATAGAAATAAGTCATTCCCTTTCTAACCCAAGTTTAATTTCTTCCACTGTTTGGAGACCCTTAGACCATTAATTGCCAATAATCCTTCCAGCAATAGATGCCTAAAAGTCTCTCTTCTTTTCTGCTTCTCCCCCAGTCCCACCAGTGATCAGGTTGGGGGTGTACAATAAATTGGGAGTGGACACGGCTGAGACAGCTGACCCCAGCTGGCCAAAGGATATTCCAGACCATATGCTCAGCATATACAGCTTGGGAGAAGAAGGAAGGCAGGGGACATTCAGAATCCTGATGTTTATCTTTCTAAGAAAATGTTATGTGTGATGGAGCCTTGCTTCCTGGGGATGACTGAGCGCCTTAGTCATGGGAAGAATTAATGCCTTGTCTTGCTTTGTTTGTGCATAGCCTTTGCTTTCCTTATTAAGCTGTCTGTGTCTCAACTCACAAGTTTTCTCACTTTTCTGATCCTCTCCCTCATCCCACCAGAGGGACAAGTGAGCAAGGGCTGTGTGGGGCTCAGTTCCCAGGTGGGGTTAAACTGTGACACCTGGCCAGAAACTCAAACAGTGTTTAGGATAACACAATCCTACATTAAATACCCTCTGAACCCAAATTCCTTCCCAATGTGTCACTGCAATGGTAGCTCAGTGCTGTGTGCTTCTGCTAATCTGACACTTCAGCATTTCCTCCACCCTTGTCAGACTCACAAAGAGGATTTCATTGAATATATTTTATATACCCATCAATCAAACGTGTATCTTGCATCAGCTCAATGGTTCTTTCTCTCATTGATTTCTCACAGCTGAATGGCACAATATCAGAAAAGAACATCAGCAGCCACAACAACTTTGCCATATTTCTCTTCTTTCCCATTTTCCAGTGGAAAAAGTGCTAGAGCACAGGGATACCACAGATGTTCACTGACGACAATGAAACAGCAAAATTTCCTGTCTGCAGAGACTGTAGGCTTAACAGTGCAGGCAGAGCTGAATGCTCCTCCTTCTGATAAGGCTGCTGTGAGTTCTGGGGGAGGAAAGAAAAAACCAAAGAAATAATAGTAAACAGAAGGGAAAGTAGCATTAGAAACTCTGAAACTGCTACATTCTCCTAAAGATTTTAGGTTCTCTGGCTATTTGTGCTCTTGCACATATGACCTCTCCATAAACTCTGCTGCTGCCACCAGCTCAGAGCTGAAGGGAACCAACTGCTCAGTCAGAGCTGTAGCTGAGCCTGCTACACCTCAGACTCACACCCAAAACCAGCTTCCAGAACAGCAGGAGAAGATAGTTTTTTTCATTATGTTAACTTGCTTGTTCTCTTTCTGCGGGAAATGTCACACTGAAATGAGCACAGAAACTGTTTTCTGAGAAAGTTGAGAAGTGAACTTAAACCACACAGAACATCAGATGCAATGAAAGGAGCAGTGATTGCTAGAAACAAAACCATCCTCAAAATCCTTCCTCTAATAGCAGTACAGTCTTAGAATAAAAGTTTTTCTTCCATAAATATGCATCAGAAATATACATGCATTGTGAGACCCAAAAACTTTAGTGGCACAGCACTTCTACAAAATCATAAAGCTTAGAGAGCAATCAGAAGCTGTTTCTTTTCTGCTCTGTTGCAACCATAGAGATTTCCCTCAAATGTCAAAGCACAAATACAGACTTACCCTTTTACCACAAATGCAGACTTTGTTACCACAGGGAAAAAAGTCTTTGTATGTCTAATCTAGAAAATGTTAAATTTGTTTGTGGTAGCTCAGCATGTGAAATGTTAAAAAGACAAGGTCAAAAAACTGCCCAAGCAGAAGAATTCTGACAAGTTAGTACCACAAAAGCAAATTAGTTTCTGTAGACATGTTTTGGTTGCAAATTCCTCAAGCCAAAACACAGGACAGATCTGCAGCCTGAATCTCTAGAGCTCTGCCAGATCCTGACCAAAGGACTCTAAAGGAAAAACTAAGATTTTATAGCTTATTATCTGCTCTGGCCTCATATACATATTGAAGTTCATATAACATGCCAGTTCAAACTGCTTAATGAAAATGTAGGAAACCTTTTTCACACAATAAAACTGTTCTGAGGCTATAAAAACTGATACACAGTGTAGATTTTGGTCCAAATATTTACAATTTTTTTTCTATGAATTCAACAGCAATTTTCAGGAAGATTTTTCAGCAGGAACTAAGTGTTTTTCCAGTGGTTTGACTGCTAAAATAAATTATTTTCTTCTATACATTACCAAATCATCTTTCTGTGTATGTGTACAAAAATGCAGTTCTTTGTTGCTACAAGAATTTTCTGTCAATTTGCTATATCAAATTATCTTCTCAGTTTCATGCAAAATGTTCTTTATACTTTGACAGTAAGACTCATTTGCTTTTGAAACTGTTTAGGTATAAAAAAAGACTCATAATTAAATCATCATTCAGAGGTCAGTACTTGAAAATTGAAGGAATATTGCAAGCGCTACACAAAATTAAGAAGATGGTATATTAGCATCCCTGTTTAAACAACATTTTAAATACAAAACCCACAGAGCTTTTTCCCCTGCTGACTGAGCAGAGCTGAGAAGTGGAAGCTGAAATAAGATTTATAGCTTTTCTTTGTTTATCTAGAGGCTCCTTGGAGCAGTTACCTTCTCCAGTCGAGCCGAAATCCACATTCCTCTGTGCTGGATCCAGCAGCTAAAGCTGGGCACTGGACATGCCTGGCATCCCAGCAGCAACAAGAAACCTCCTGTGCTCCTTTAGCTCGTGCCACAGGCTGCACGCGCAGCAGGCATTTGGAAATTGCCACTTTGTGAGATGCAAGGTCTGTGCAGAGCTCTCAGCTCAGCTACACCCACAGGGGAGCCCCACAAGGCTTCTGCTGTGCCTTGTTAAAAACCCAGCGTTTCCTCCCTCTCGTGGCAGCCTGGCTGCGCAGTCCACAGTGCCTCTGTTCCCTAGCAGATGGTGTATAAAGTCACTGCTTGTGTGGTTCAGAAATAAGTGCCTCTCACCACAGAAAAATTTAGGTTGGAAGGGGTTTTTGGTGGGGTGTCATCTAGTCCAGCCACCTGGGCCCAGGTAAGGTGACTCCAAAGTTAGATCAGGTTGCTCAGGACCTCATTCAGTGGAAGATTTGATATCTTCTATGAAAAAGAACATAGAACTTTTCCAGACCCCTGTTCTAGGGCTTGCTTATTCACATTGACTATACCTCAGCCAGTAAATATCTACTTTGTGTTACTATACCTGCTATACTTTATTCAGGACTTTCAGTGCCACTGTATTATATTTACAAAGGTCAAAATAGTCACAAGGTACATGTGGCATTTCCAAAAATAATTATGAACCTACTGTGGCTTTTCAGTCTCTGAACCTACTGTGACTTTTCACTCCCTTTCAAACACGAAAATTTGGGAACAAGGAAATATATGCAAAACCATGATGCTAGAGTTTCACAAGAAGTCGTCTGCTTATCATAATTTTTATTTCACTTCATATTTTTACCGGAAACCAAAAGGGCATAATGGTTTTGTTTAGGATTCCATTGCAGAGAAATGACCAAGTCTCATGATCCAATCTCCCACAGACCTGTTGTGCAAGTCATGTCTTAAGTGAATACACATTTGTCATCAATCCTCTAGTTCCCACTGACTGGAAAACTTAAACAGAACTCCCCACATCCCTGGGAATTCTGCTGCACATTGCTAATTTGGTGAACTTCACTTATAAACATTTACTATCCACTTCTCTGGACTAGAAAACCCTAAACAATACAAATGAAATAACAAGAGAAAAGACAAATATTTTCTCTTCATAATCTGAAGTTTGATCCAGACCAGAGCCATTGTTATGCCTATGACAAGAAACTATCTTTCATGTTGAAATTAAAGCAGCAGTTATGGGGTTCAGACTCCTTTTCCATTTATGGTCTAGTTCTAGCCCATATTTCATTGTTAATTTTACATTTTTCAGGTTCTCAACTCTATCTTCCAGAGTAATTAAACAGCACATACCTTGCAATTTACTTTTCCCATTTTCTGAATCTTCTCTCCTTGCAAAGTCAAGTCAAATCTCTGGTCTGATTTTTACCTAAAACTCTTTTTCCGCAGTTGCAGAGAAGCTAAGTTCACCAACTCTAAGTTCAACAACAGTTTTTGCTGCTCCACTGAGCACCTTCTTGAGCTTTTAACAGCTCAATTCTTTGCAGATTCAGAACATAACGGATTTTTAAAGCTGCTAAATGCCAAATGCTTCCTTTGTCCATCATGAGGTTTCTTCTACAGTTTTATTCCAATAACCCTGGATTAGCGTTAGCAGCTGTTGATGTATTATAATTCTTACAATGTGGCATTTGTGATGGACATCCTTCCTGCAGAGTTCACCTGGCAGCACTGGTCTCTTTCTCAGTATCCCAGGAGCTATCCTTATTGTCCAGGATGTTGTTACACAGCTGTCTCTCCCTGATAATAGCTATCCCTATGTTTATAGCATGTTAAATTCACCTCACACATGTTTTGGAGCAGGCTGAGAAGCTGTAAAAGGACTGCAGCACTACACTGAAATCAGCTGCTGTCAGGAGGCAGAGGGATAACATTATGTGTTGGAAGTACTTTTCCCACTAGGAAGGCTTGTTCCAGCCCAGAGCCTCTTCATTAATTTCAGCACTTACACATCCAAACCCCTGATAGTTTTTACTGCCAGCACAGATTGAGCTGTAGATGACTACAGCTGGAAAGTAGGACTTTGCACATGCAGATGCCTTTTGCAGCAGTCATCTCTAGCTGCAATTTTGTTTTCTATAAAATTCTTCTCTTCTACCAGCTTCTGGCATCAATTACACTATATAGCAGCACTTTAGTATTTGGGACGGAGATAGTTTTGTGTGTAATCAGCTTCAAAACGCCATTGCAATTGCTTAGGGACAGGCCACATTAACATAGTATTGTAACTCCTGCTTATCAAGGATTCAAACTTGCTGTCCTTCTGATGTGTGAAGATTACAATCTCCAGGGCAGTCAATTTGGCATTTCTTGAGGGCAGGTATCAGTGTTTTTAATTAGAAACTGTTACAACATGTTAGGAAGAGAAAATCCTGTGTATCAGGATTTCAGTTTGCATAAAAATAGCAATAGAGGCAGAATGAATTAGCCATTGCAAATTGAGTTCCATCTGTTTCTTCTACTCATCTCAGCCTTAGTTTCAGGTCCTGAAATGAAGCGAGTTCACACTCAGAGGGGGTGGTGATGGGAGGTCCTTTGGTAATTTTAATCTGTTTAAATCAGCGTGGTTGCAACATATTTCTTAGATGAGACCTTATGAGAAATATTCATCTTGGGAGATCAAAGAGGTTAAAAACCAAGCCAGGGAAAGAGCAAGCTGTGTTGCTCTGCTTTGGGGGTGCCCAAAGCTGCCCCAGTTTCATGAATAATTTGACCAACATCCTGAAGGCAGTTCAGAGGCTGCCATACCCTCTCAGGACATGAACACACAGAACCACATCACTGGCACCAGTTAGCAAACACAAAAGAAACAGGAAGTTCTGTTGTTCAAACACAAAAGAAACAGGAAGTACCAAGACAAGCTGTTCTCTTCACAGAAGAAACATTTCATGAAGCACATGAAGATATCACCAAAGATCCTTAGAAGAATCTAGAGCTGAACATTTGCCCATAGCTGAAAGCAAATAGTCCAAAATGAATGCAGATACATCATTTTGATCACACATGAACACAAATTAGTACTATTCTGACACCCACCAATGCGTCTTGTCAAAAGTTTTTCTAAAAATACCAAAGTTGCTGTGGATTCTCCTGGCTCAATACTCGGACAGAATTCATTTCTGTACTTTCTTGGAAAGAAAGGTGGAGAAAGCAGCAGTGGG